ACTGTTGACAGAATTGATGACTTCGTAGGTAAGCCTACTGATACTGCGAAATTCAAATGAAATCGAAATACTTCCTCCATGGGGCTCCAGTGTAGACCCTACGTACGAGTTGTGTCCTCGCCACCAAGCAACAATCCCTTTGATTCTCGAAACCTGATGGGTATCTTTTCTAACAATTTTGGCAAATTTTCAACTCAAATGTGCCACTAACACTAACTATAACACACCAATGACTTCCGCCTCGGCACCACTATCCGCTTCAGAAAATATGTCATCATCTGATGTTTGATGCACCTGTATATTTTTTCAACATCAGCCATAATAATGAATCTTAGACCACGCCAATTGAGAATTACTCCAACCAACTGCATATGTTATGTTGGCCCAAAAGTTTAAATGTCATTTAATGACTTCCCATTGCTTGTCTTGTTCGAATCGTTGAACACAGCTCGGACCTTGGTAGTTGATCATGTTTCTTTTTTAACTGGGTGATGCGGGCTGATTGCATGATGCTACAGATGTTAGGCGCAACCAGTTTCATTTGGCCCAGCGCCAAATACTCAATAATAGTGTTATAGTATACATCTTTCGACTTGGGGTCTGCACGTTGGCGCCTATCCAGATAATCTTACCACTTCAGTTCGCTTCGATATGACGATCTAGAGTTTTTTCATCATAGTTTGATCCCGATGGAACAAAAAAGGACGACGATTAATGTCAAAAAATTCCTCGTACCACATCTCCTCTAGTTCCCCAAACTTGTATAAAACATTGTCGAGTTAATCATTCTTATCATGATTTGATATCTGAGTATATCTGGGCTGAGAGCGATGAAACTAACGACGCATGTTCGTTAATATTTTGTGCTAGAGATTCCTCGATATACTTCACTTAACATCAAATCATCTTAAATATTGCTTCTAAGTAAAATGTCGACACCATGTGGAATAAAATTTTTAGGATCGGCTACGCGTTAATGTGGCCACAGTGGCTAATATTTGTCTGTTTGGCTAACTTTGACTTACCTTGAGCGGTTCATACGCAAATATCTTGAGCTTTACCTGCGTATCATATAGGGATATGCTTGCTGGGCATTTGTATCCGTCCACCAGGTGGATTAGAGAATAATACCGCTCGGTGCACTTTGCAAAATTTCGCGAACTGCCACAGGTAGCCACGTGATGATGTTTTTGACCGACGCTGCAACATACACATCTTATTGAATACATTACATGTTCCCATGGGGAGCTCCTCCTTGTCGCAGACTATAAATATGTCTTGTTGTCGACTAATAAATTAGGCTTCTGCGTCTCTGTGACTTGCATGAAAATACCCGCCGATCACGTAATCATCGTTTGGTATTTGGACTCGAGTTAAGCACAAAGCTTTTCTAATGTTGGTAAATCTGGCTAGTACGATAATGAACGTAGCATTTTCATCATATAATATACCAAAACTTGGGATTGCTGTTTTACATCAACTCCAGGTTCTTGAGGAGCAGGCCAAACCGCCTTAAAGACTCGGCGTATCCATGTGGAACCGATAATTGATGACCAAAGACATCCATATAATACAAAATCAATGTCATTTAAGTTCGTCAGCACTATACATGCGAACCTATCAAGGTCAAGTGCTCTATGTTTTTGTCAGCTTTCTCTAATAGTGAATTCTTTAAATAATGGAAGTCAGTAAGTCTTTAACAGTGTTGGACATGCGATTGAAACACCTCCTTGAATGCCGGCAAATCTATGAATATGCCGCTGAAAGTTGACAGCCTAACCGTGGGCAGCTTCACTTTCTCCATAGGGGCTATACACTCTTCGCTTGCATTCTGATGGAATGATGGAATATCTTATTGAATGCGGCGAACGCTGAATTTCTCTGCACCTTATGCAATTCAATTCATTCCGTAATTCTGCTACCCCTACGATGTAAGTCTCCTCAAACAATTACCTGATTGCTGTATAAAAATACCTTTTTTAATATCCTTCCTGTCTCGCGGTCAAGCTGCTGATGGTTGCGCTTAAACTCTGCTACCGATTCGGGCCCTCCAAGATAGGTTCCCGTATGCACCGATTCATCAGCTTAGTATTTTTTCAGTGACTTCTCCAAACTCTGCAGTTTGCTTAAGAGTTAAATACATGAGGTTTTCGGCAATTCTGATCACCAAACCTAACAAGTTTGTTTCTAATTGCACTTACCTTTCCAATTTAGTCGCAATGACTTCAGCAATCACACTTCAATGTCAAACCCTTAATTTCACAGTCCAATCTCCAAGAATTATTTCTCATGCGAGGAATGGCTGCACCATGTGCGGAGCCTCAAACTGCCCATAAATATGATGCGGTCTGCGGCACGATTGTTGGGAATGTTCTTCAACCGGAAAATACCAATGATCCCAGACGGTTGCTCAAATAAGTTCAAGAGCCTGGCTCTTAATTTTAAAAATCATTCAACTTTATTGACTTAACCCATATATTATAATTATTTATCACAAAAAAAAACATATTTCAGATGATTTGGAGTGACGCTCAATGATTTCAACATGTGTCGCAAATTTCGCTGTTACTTGGCTAGCAAATTAAAAAGCTTAATAAGCTAACAAAATTAAGCACGTAAGATAAATAAGAGATCCACGAGTTAATGTTCATTTGCCAATATGCTTACATAATGCTGCAGCACAGTACCTAAGCACACATCATGTAAGTATATCGGCGAGTATGCCATCATGTAAGAATACCGGCTTGATGTAGTTAAGGTCGCTGAGTAGCGAAGTATCAGTAATACCAGCATTTAAGCAGCAGATTGACTTTTGGCCGAATTTTATTATGCGTAGAGGAGGAGCATTTTGATAAATAAAAAGTTCTTTGAGCAAATTGGGTAAATAATATGAGCTAAACTCTCCAAACTTCACATGTAGCTTCTAAAATAGTTTATACATATCAAGTATCTTTCATTTTATAGCTATCATCACCTCCCCGCTACTATCTCATGGATATATATCAAGTAGAAACACCAATTTATGCTGTCCACCAATATCAGCCACAATTAAATGCAATTGACATTTTGAGAATACACAAATATTCAATAACCCAATAAGATGTAATGTAGAAAATTTCATCAAGATCGGTTAAGAAACACAATTATTAAAGAAAACGTGTTTTGACTTTTCTCCTATCCGCGGTAGCAAGCGCAAATTCCAAGAATTTCTGTATACATGTACACACACACATTTATGCGCGCCTGCTTTGAATTCTATCAACAGCAATGCAATTGCGATTGTATTGTTTTCTGTGCTGCTATTTTAATTCGTTTTTTTCTCATTAAGATTCAATTATTGGTGTGGTTTTTGGGTAGAGGCGGCTGTAAGTAGTGCGGTAGGTTGCGAGTTCGAACCCTACTAAGGAATCTAGTTTTTTTTTTTGGCTGGTGTGGCTGTTGATTAGAGGCGGCAGCAAGTAATGCGAACCCTGCCAAGTGAACTTTTTTTTTTAATAAGCTTTATTACTACTAAAGCGAATGAGCGCGTTGGTGTTGGAATAAGAGGGTTCAGGGTATCCCTTAGTCGGGAGCTCCTGACTAGAACCTCTTACTTGTTCAAACGTATTCTGGTGACTTTCGGTGTTCCTCAAGTTAGTCATCTTGGCCAGCTACTCTTTACTCTTTTTATCAATGATACTCCCTCGATACTATCTCAGTCTCGAGTATTAATTTATGCTGATGATATGAAATGATGCCTTGCATATACAGATATAGCATCATGTTATCTTTTACAAGCTGACATTGATGCGTTTCGGGCTTGGTGTCTAGCCAACCTCTTAAATTTAAATTGCTCCAAATGTACCGCTCGAGCGTGTCAATAGTACCTGTAATGAAGTTAATGATCTAGGTGTCATTCTTGATCATTAACTTAAGTTTGGCTCTCATGTTAAGACCGTGGTCAATAGGGCAAGAATTATTTTGGGGTACATCAAGCGATGGGCAAAGGAGTTTGTCGATATGTACACGACAAAGACCCTTTATATATCTTTGGTACCACCTATACTTGAGTATGCCTTATGTATCTGGTCACCACAATACTATATCCGAAGAATTGAATCCGTTCATAAACAATTCTTGTTGTTTGCCCTTCGTGGTTTAAATTGGGATCCTCGTGTGCTATTACCGTCATACTCCAGTAGACTTCTGATGATTAACCTTCCTTCCTTAATTAATCGTAGAACAATGCTGGGTGTAAAATTTATCCATAAATTAATTGGTGAAATCGACTCTTCTGTGTTGACTAGCTAATTAAATTTCTCTATCCCTACTAGACTCACACGTAATTTTACACTTTTATCGCTTCAATTTTGCTGAACTGATTTGGCCTTGCATGAACCGTTGAGGGGTTCTCTGTGATGATTATAAAAAGCATTACAGAGTGTTCTGCTCGAAGTCTTCTTTTCCTCGTATAAAGTCTTCTATTCTAAACTTTTTAGCAAGTAGATAGTCTTAGCATATAGGCGTAGTTTGCATTCCTTTTGTACTTCGCGACTAGTGTCCCACATTACACGGTGGGATGCAGTAAAAAGCATCGGGTTTTTATTTTCTGACAACTGTCCCTTATTCCGATATATCAAAAAAATACAAATGACAATTGGAACAACGAAAAGAAGACGGTAGAAGACGTTTCGAGGTATATCCTTTTCGGCGTCTTCTGACTAAAGCGGTCTTACTTTTTCTTTTCATGCAGTGTTTGAAACACTGAGCACACTCCTATCATTACTTCAAAATTATTTTCAAATAAACACTTTATTTAAGATTTATTTATAGACATGAGATCTAAGGTAGAATGCGCAGACATTAAAATGCAATGACCGTCTCACTTGTCATTCTGTTAAGTTTCAAAACGTTGTTACAAGTTGTAATAATACTTATTATCGACTGCTAGGCCATAAGCATATGGCCAGCCAATCAGAAAATATATAAATTTTAATTGTATAAATTTCCTTCATTTGTAGAATAAAATTCGCTGGATGAGCCCTAAAGCACCCCCAAATCGGTTACGGCAAGGGATACCAAAGCTATTGCCAGATATAATCGATCATGTTCTACCAAGTTACTTATCATATGCTCAACGAATATCTGAGAAAGAAACAATTTTAGAATTTATAAAGGATCTCAACAAGGTATGTTTTGTTTTTTAAACAATAAGATTTTGAATATACATAGTTAATTTTTACAAGAGTAAATAACACTATGCTACATACTTTACTGGTGACCATAAATGACAATTAAGAAATGTAGTGGTATGGAAAATTGTTTTCCATCTTAACAAATATACTTTGCGCTGAGCTGCCCGTAGTCAATGCACATTCGCCATTCCCCCGTCTTCTTTTACACTACCATGATCGGTGCGCTGTACGGTCTTCGTCGCTTGCCTAAGCGCCCTCGTTTCGGAGCTCCTACTGAGGGGCAGATTATTGCCCCTTCCCGAATCCCTGACCTCACCTCCAGAACTACCTCCGCGAAGAAGAATGTTGCCCATTTCTGAATCCCCGGTCTGTCGATCGTTTTCAAAATCGTCTTTCTACTCCCTCAGCGTATCCTCGTGCCTATCACACAGAGGAAGTCCATCCTTAGGATCACCTGCTCTTGCATTAACGTCTTTATCAGCAGAGGTACGCTAATCAAGTGGCACGCACTTCCCTGAGTTTCCCATTCTTTGCTACTTTTAGTCCTCGCTGATCCTTATCGTGGCGACGACACGAGCCCATTGACGCCCAGGCGATTCCGGTCTTAGTGGCACCGCTGTCCGTTGCCCTGAGCTGGTCACCTACAACATTCTTGGCTGCAAACCCCTCTAGCACCGCATTAGATACAGAAAATGGCCTGAGTATTGGGACATTCCCGTAAAAAATGACCTTCTTGACCACATATCCGACGCCGCCTGGCCGGTGGCCCCGGTTGTTGGCCGATCTTCCTGATGGTGGCCTCTCCTCGTTGCATCTGCAACGTCCAACGGGTTGTCCAGTACTTTTTTCGATGGCGCCTGTCCGACGCCCAGATACGTGCCCATACCACACTCTACTGAATCCGCGAGGTTAGCGGACACTGTTGACCATGCTGCTTTATACCTTCATATTCGACGGCCAGCTGTATGAGCTTGGCTAAAGACGAGAAGTCTTGTCTCCGCACATACAGCTTATACTCCTGGACGCGTGTTCAATAATCCTACTCAACTCCCTTTCGAGGCTGTAGCCAGCATGGTGCATCAATGCCCGCAGGTCCACCACGTACTGCTTGAACTGCAACTGCAACGTACTGCTCGTTGACGGCGGGCCCGGATCTCATCCTCTAGCAGCTCGAAATACCGTGGCGGCAAGAAGAACTCCAAAAACCCATCTTTAAACATGGCCCATGATACGTCACGCAGCCCGCGTGTCATGAACCACCGTGCGGCTTCGCCGACTATGATTTCGTTCATCGCCCTTAGTAACCTGTCCAAGTCGATGTCATACGATATGGCCCGATCCTCGAGAGCTTCTAAGAAGGATCGGCCTGTCCATCGAAGCGCATACACCACTTCCTAGTCTATTCTGGTACGATAAAATGTCCCCTCACTTCCTTTGGTGGGCGGACTGATACTGCTGGGGCACCCTTGGCAGAACGAGATGTTCCCGACCCGCTATTTTATCGCCCGTGTCGCAGGACCTTTAGCTCTGGATAATAGGGGCTTCGAGCAGGCCGGGGGTGCCTATGCGTGTATTTTTCACCATTATTGTTTGATTTTAATAATTATCTCGTGTTGTTTTATGATCCAAAAAAAAATTTGACACTGCCTATCAGCCTTGCACTACTTTTCGACGTGCTTACTGCACTCTTTTACCGTGGTGCTGTGCTTGCAATCCACGTTGTCCACTGAAGTCTCTCCCTTTTTTTTCTTTCACCTTTCACATGTTGTGACAGCCACATTTTCTTCGCACTGTTGTGCCCATCTCTTTTTTTTTTGACTTTGACTGCATTTAAGCCTTATTCTGCCGTCGCCCGTTCACTTACGGTTTTATTACGTCGCGTACCAAAATGTTTTCCCGCGAGTGTATGCCAGTACGTATGGGCGTGTGTTTGTGTGCGGGCCTGTACGTTCTGATCACATTCGGGAGCGTCGCTCACAAAAATTTTATCTCCGTCCGTTATTTTTTCGGTCTACACTTTGTTATTTGTCCGTCTGTTGTCGCTTCAACTGTCTGACTGCACGTGTGCATTGGCTGCCGAAGCCCCAGTAGGACTATATTACTATCGTTTCTCTATGTTGCGGGCGGCCAGTTTTTCAGCTGCTGCTGCCTTCTAGCTCTAAGTTCACTCTGATAGTACTCTTGTGAGTCTTTAGGCCACGTTAGTGCCACGCCCCTTCACGCCTCGGGTCCCAACTCGGGCGCCACTTGTAAAGTAGTGATTAAGCCGGAGCTGTAGATCTCAGTCTACCCGGGTCCACTTACTAGAAATTTTTAACTTGCCGTGACGCGATGCTAGAAGAGGCGGGGATCGCTCCACCACAGAGTAGCTAAATTTGAGGAAAGGGAGGGCCGCAGCGAACGCTTCGCCGTGGTGTAGGTTAAGGTTGGTAGACAGGACGGGCTCCGCTGGGATCGCTCCGCCGTTGATAAATTATCGCTGTTCGGTCTCACTTGCCGAACGATAAAGAAAAAAAGCACTGAGTGATTCAAATGTATTCTGTGAGATCTTTTTTTTATGAATAACTTCGCTGGCTCTGCTGCACCGTTATTTTAACAAATCTATACTTAACCTCGCTAACACGCCTTGCGCCTCTCATTTTTGCTGACAATGTTCGCACGTCCGCCACTTACACTTGTCAATTCCAAAGTGAAGCTGCTGTTTAGCTTCACCGTCTTACGATCCTCTGTCACTCTCTTTGCTGTGTGGTGAGAACTCCTCTTAAGCCCATTTACTCCCCTGATCCTCCTGTTAACATTCTAGCATTCTGAAGATCTGATATATTTATATTCATATTCATATTCATATTCATATTCATATTCATATTCATATTCATATTCATATTCATATTCATATTCATATTCATATTCATATTGATATTGATATTCATATTCATATTCAGATTCATATTCATATTCATATTCATATTCATATTCAGATTCATATTCATATTCATATTCATATTCATATTCATATTCATATTCATATTCATATTTATATTTATATTTATATTTATATTTATATTCATATTCATATTCATATTCATATTCATATTCATATTCATATTCATATTCATATTCATATTCATATTCATATTCATACTCATATTCATATTCATATTCATATTCATATTCATATTCATATTCATATTCATATTCATATTCATATTCATATTGATATTGATATTGATATTGATATTCATATTCAGATTCATATTCATATTCATATTCATATTCATATTCAGATTCATATTCATATTCATATTCATATTCATATTCATATTCATATTCATATTCATATTCATATTTATATTCATATTCATATTCATATTCATATTCATATTCATATTCATATTCATATTCATATTCATATTCATATTCATACTCATATTCATATTCATATTCATATTCATATTCATATTCATATTCATATTCATATTCATATTCATATTCATATTCATATTCATATTCATATTCATATTCATATTCATATTCATATTCATATTCATATTCATATTCATATTCATATTCATATTCATATTCATATTCATATTCATATTCATATTCATATTCATATTCATATTCATATTCATATTCATATTCATATTCATATTCATATTCATATTCATATTCATATTCATATTCATATTCATATTCATATTCATATTCATATTCATATTCATATTCATATTCATATTCATATTCATATTCATATTCATATTCATATTCATATTCATATTCATATTCATATTCATATTCATATTCATATTCATATTCATATTCATATTCATATTCATATTCATATTCATATTCATATTCATATTCATATTCATATTCATATTCATATTCATATTCATATTCATATTCATATTCATATTCATATTCATATTCATATTCATATTCATATTCATATTCATATTCATATTCATATTCATATTCATATTCATATTCATATTCATATTCATATTCATATTCATATTCATATTCATATTCATATTCATATTCATATTCATATTCATATTCATATTCATATTCATATTCATATTCATATTCATATTCATATTCATATTCATATTCATATTCATATTCATATATATTCATATTCATATTCATATTCATATTCATATTCATATTCATATTGATATTGATATTGATATTGATATTGATATTGATATTCATATTCTGATTCATATTCATATTCATATTCATATTCATATTCAGTATTCATATTCATATTCATATTCATATTCATATTCATATTCATATTCATATTTTTATTTATATTTATATTTATATTTATATTTATATTCATATTCATATTCATATTCATATTCATATTCATATTCATATTCATATTCATATTCATATTCATATTCATACTCATATTCATATTCATATTCATATTCATATTCATATTCATATTCATATTCATATTCATATTGATATTGATATTCATATTCATATTCAGATTCATATTCATATTCATATTCATATTCATATTCATATTCAGATTCATATTCATATTCATATTCATATTCATATTCATATTCATATTCATATTCATATTCATATTTATATTTATATTTATATTCATATTCATATTCATATTCATATTCATATTCATATTCATATTCATATTCATATTCATATTCATATTCATACTCATATTCATATTCATATTCATATTCATATTCATATTCATATTCATTTTCATATTCATATTCATATTCATATTCATATTCATATTCATATTCATATTCATATTCATATTCATATTCATATTCATATTCATATTCATATTCATATTCATATTCATATTCATATTCATATTCATATTCATATTCATATTCATATTCATATTCATATTCATATTCATATTCATATTCATATTCATATTCATATTCATATTCATATTCATATTCATATTCATATTCATATTCATATTCATATTCATA